AACCCCCCTGCCACTGAGAGTGATCGGAAACCCAGGGGGTAGCTAAGAGCGGGGGGGCAGGGCAAAGACGGCCCTACCCTGATCGGAGAATCAGGCACCTTTGCCGCCCTGGCCAGTGATAGCAGGAAGTAGGGGTGGAGCCAGCGATGGGAGCTGGGCAGGGTCAAAGCTGGCAGTCCAGGGAGCTAGGGGTCCCTTGCCTGGCCTAAAGTAGAGCCCACGATCACAGGGCTGCTGCCACTGTGGGTCCCCGCTGCCCGGGCACGAAGCCTCAACCAGAGGCGTTAGGCCTGGGCAGGGGCAGAGAGGGAGATCGCGGGGAGGTGGGGGTCCCCTGCCCAGGCCTAATGACTTGGCCAAGAGGCCTTAGGCCTGGGCAGGGGCGGAGCCTGAAACCACGGGGAGCTGGAGGTCCCCTGCCCAGGCCTGACACCTCTGCCAGAGGCCTCAGGCCTGGGCAAGGGGCCGATCCGGTGATCAGCGATCGGATGGTGATGAGGATCACCTCCTCTGGCAGAGGCATCAGGCCTGGGCGGGGGGTGGAGCCAGCAATCGGAGGGGGTTAGGGGTCCCCTGCCCAGGCCTGATGCCTGGGCCAGAGGCATCAGGCCTGGGTCGGGGGTGGAGCCAGGGATTGGGGGGATATGATGGTCCCCTTGCCCAAGCATGAAGCCTGGGTCAGAGGCGTCAGGCTTGGGCGGGGGTGTGGAGCAAGCGATCAGAGGGAGATGGGGGTCCCCTGCCCAGGCCTGAATCCTGGGCCAGAGGCATCAGGCCTGGGCCAGGAGCAGAGCCAGCAATCAGAGGGGTTTGGGGGTCCCCTGCCCAGGCCTGACGCCTCTGGCAGAGGCATTAGGCTTGGGCAAGGGGCTGATCCTGCGATTGGAGATTGATGGGGGTCAACGCCTGAGGGCTCCCAGTATGTGAGAGGGGGCAGGCTGGGCTGAGGGACACTCCCCCACACCCCACCCAGTGCACGAATTTCGTGTACCGGGCCCCTAGTTCATTATAAAGTGATTGAATTACTAGTATCTGTCCTTCAGTTTCAAATGTCCATTCCTTTTCCTACATTTATGTTCTGTGTCACTTCATCTGATTGGAACATTCCTCATTCGGGAAGGCAGGCTTCTGTGTCAGCATCACACTGCTCTACTATCACAGCCTAAATTCCATCCTACTCACTCATCCCCAGTTACTTGATCCAGAGGGGACCAGGTGAGGGAGTGGAAACCAGAGATTCCAAACTGGAGGCCAAGGGACTGCATCTGGGCTTCAGATGGGTTTTATTTGACTCACATATCACTTCGTTTTTTAAAAAAATTGATCCAGCATTTAAATATTTGGAGAGTTCTCATAAAAATTCTCATTTCTGGATTCTTTTTAAAAGCACCAGCCAGAAATGAGTATCTGCTGAATTGCTCATTCAGGCATGTTCTTTTTAATTACTCATGGTCTCCATCAAATATTGTATTTCTGGCCTTGAGACTGTGTCCATTTTGAAATAAGTGTAATTTTGAAAAGGGAATAAAATGACATTGGAATGCTAGAATTCCTACACTAGGCCCATCTGTTTCACCTAATCTGTTACCCTACAGATACCAACATCTGCAAATGCTGCTGTAACAACCTTTACCCCTGGAGAGAAGCAGCCATTTGGCACGTTCTTGGCATTTGTTAGCTCAGGAAGACCCTTCTGAAATGCCTGTTCACTTTCAGGTGACACAGTACGGGTGACTCAGTGAGAAGAATGGGATTTGATGCTGCTCTCTATGACAATGGTGCATGATCAGATCTCTAAGGAGCAGGATCCACCTCTGCCATGTGGATTCCACCAGTTTTACACAACCTCTGGAATCTCAGCAATCTCAGAGCTGGTTCAGGACAGTGTTTGAGGATCCTCATACTTATTATGGTTAACAACCTTGCTCAAGGTCACATCCTTAATAAGAGACAGAAACAGTATTCCAAGTCAAGTCACTATCACTGTAAATCACTTTTCTGGGAGCTCCAGAAATATTTGTCAAATGCACAAATTTCTATATATGACATTATATATAGGTTATATATAACATTATCCATCTCATATAGTTATAAAGATTGTTAGATCCTCAGAAATTTGAAAATTGCCTTGATTTCTCTCTCTCTTTATTACCCATCACTAATCTGTCCATTCCCTCCATCTGCATGGTCAGTACCTGAGTCCAAGTGGTTACCATTTCTCAATTGGATTGGCACAAGGCTTGTGGAGTGGTCTCCATGCTTCCAAATTTATGCCCTCTGCAGTGTACTCTCCATATTGCAACCTCAGTGCTCTTCATGGTATTTATATCTTACCATAAATGAGATCTTTGTCATTCCTTTGCTTAAAATCCTTCAATCATTTCTTAGTGCCCTCAGGGAAAATCTCAGAATCCTTAATGTGGCCAGCAAGCACTGGTCTGCCCTACCTCTGACTGGTCTCCACCAAGAATTACACTGCACTTCCCTGATAGTACCCCTTTCTGGTTCAGGGCCTTCCCAGATATATTCATATCCCTCTTTTTTTACTTCTTTAACTTAAACTGATCCTTCCCAAAATTTCTTAGATTCTTCATCACCCCTACTTTAACTCTTTGACACACACACACACACACACACACACCCATTTTCTCACCATGATTTTCATTCATGTTACTTCTCACTCTTTGTAGCTACATAATAAGTTAACTGTGTTACTATTTGATTATCTCATTCCA